GTCGTGAGAATTATTTTATTGTTTTATTTTTATTATTTTATTATTTCCCTTCTACGTGACTTTACCGAAAGAACCAAGAAGATGAATCCCTGCAGTCACGAAAGCTTTAAATCGAAATCTCTCTCACCTGTGGCGTATCCCGTGGCCGCGGGGATGGGAGTTGCGAACCCCGCGGTGGCTCCGTACGCGTAGGAGGTTCCGTAGCCGCTCGCTGCGAGGGAACGGGGGAAAAACAACGTTCGTTATTATTTCCCTTCTACGTGACTTTACCGACAGCTGTTTCTGCACCCGAGGACGGCTGCTTGCGTTGTGGCCGAAACGTCGTGAGAATTTTATTTTATGTTTTATTTTTATTATTTCCCTTCTACGTGACTTTACCGAAAGAACCAAGAAAACGTGCGAGGGCTTCGTTGGGGGTGTCGGTGCTCCGTCACATTTCCGCTCCGTCTCCCCCCTGGCTCCCCCCTCCATTGGAATAAACTCCCACAGGGCAACTTCACCCTCCAATGTTCGTTCCTCCGTTAAGACTCATCTTTTTTCAATCGCGTATCCCTCCACCACTTCCACTCTCAACGTCCCCAAAACCTTTACCATCCCCCCCCTTCCTAACACCGCCACCCCTCCCTTTCCGAACCATCACCACCCTTTCGATTTAAAGCTTTCGTGACTGCAGGGATTCATCTTCTTGGTTCTTTCGGTAAAGTCACGTAGAAGGGAAGTGATAAAATAATAAAAATAAAACATAATAAAATAATTCTCACGACGTATCGGCCACAACGCAAGCAGCCGTCCTCAGGTGAAGAACAGGTCTGTCGGAAAGACAGCGTCTGAATGAGACGCTGTCTTTCCGATTCAGACACTGTCTTCTCGACAGCCCTGTTCTTCACCTGAGGACGGCTGCTTGCGTTGTGGCCGAAACGTCGTGAAAATTTTATTTTATGTTTTATTTTATTATTTCCCTTCTACGTGACTTTACCGAAAGAACCAAGAAGATGAATCCCTGCAGTCACGAAAGCTTTAAATCGTGTTTTAAGATGTTCAGATGTTAAGCTTTTGTTAAGATGTAAAGATATGTTCAGATGTTAAGTTAAGATGTTAAGATATGTTAAGATCTTCTTGGTTCTTTCGGTAAAGTCACGTAGAAGGGAAACAATAAAATTGATTATAAAAATAGAACATAATAAATATATTTTTTATGTTTTATTTTATTATTTTATTATTTCCCTTCTACGTGACTTTACCAAAAGAACCAAGAAGAACATCACCACCCTTTCCTTGCCATCCCCTACCCCTCCCCACACACTCAAATCCCATCCCTTTTTCCCCCAATCAGCCAATGACTAATCTACCATTTACAATCTTGTTAAGCGCTTTCATAAAAGTGCGATATCAATACAGGTGGGTAAACATTATTTCATGAATAAAAAATAATTAATTACAATGTCGGCAAGTGGCTTGTGCTGCACTCACGAGTGATTTTACTGTACTCCTACAAGGCGGCAGTGCTGTACGCGTTCTCTCACTCGTAAGGACTTTACATTTTTTTGTCACTTTTGTCATAACGAATCGGCGTTCCACGGGGTGGCACTAAGCGAGGTCTGCCTGCATCACTAGTATTGCTGGAATTAAGGGCCAGAGCCAGCGTTCGGCAATCAGAGCTGTATCGGAGGCGGATGAAGAGGAAAGACCCCAGCTGGGCCCCGAAGTGAGAGGGCCAGGAGGTATGTGGTCAACAATGCTTGACTCAGGGAGGAGTACGCCCCTGCCATGCATAGTCCCATGGGATGTTGGCTATCAACAACAAGGCAACTCCTATGACTAATTGGGAATGGGACGCAAGCCTAGGATTGATCACCCTGTCGCTGGCCGCCTGTGGGGAGGGTGTATAGTGTGAAAGGGAAACAACCCTGGGAACCAAAGGTTCACTACTGACGATGCGCTCCCCAAATTTCACCAGGCTCGCTGTTCATGGACTCTTGAACGTGCTTGCACAAAGGATAGTAACATCTCATCCGGTGTTCTTGGAATCTGCTATCCCCATCGAGCGTGGGGGGCAGGTGGCAGGTGGCAACGTTCCAGACACTCCACCGCGAAAGTCGGCGCTCCTCCGCTCACCGTCGTAGTCGGTGGCCGCGGCTGGCTGCGCCGCGTAGCTCGCCGCGTACCCGCCGGCCCCGTACACCGACGGGTACTGCGCCATCTGCACCGCCTGCACCGCCTGCGCCGCCGCCAACGGGTACTGCGCAACCTGCTGCTGCTGCTGCTGCTTGACGGCGGCCGAGCCGGTGGTCCCGACCGCGTACACCGCCTTGCCGGCCGCCGACGCGGCGCTGTCGTAAGCTTTCTTGTGCTGCGGCCATGGCCGCCGCCGCCGCGGCCGCCACGGCGGCGGTGGTGGCGCCGACGGTTTGGCCGATGGCGCCGTAGCCGGCGCCGGAGTAGCCGCCCTGCGCGACGAGTAGTAGCGCAGGGAGTGGTCGACGGGCGCCGGCTCCGGCTGGGCCGAGCCGTAGACGGACGCGGAGGAGGTGCCGGCGACGCCGCCGCCGACGCCGGCGCTGGAGTAGCTGCCCTGGCCTGCGGACGGGAGTTAGTCCCTTAGGGGGGGGCAGGCAAGGGGCTGGCAACGTTCGGCCCGCACGTGCGCACTCACTCACTGGCTCGCCCGAACCAACGCTCGCCAGCGGCTTCACGCGCATGTAACGCGCAAGCACGCACGCACGCACGCGCGTCACTATGCACACCAACGTAACACGCGCACGCGCACTCGCGCATACCAATACTACACCAACAACCGCCATCCAGTACACACACACACGTACACACACACTGGCACACACATGCGAAGACACGTGGTAACACACGTACACACACACGTACACACACACGGACTGGCACACACATGCGAAGACACGTGAAACACGTAGACACACACAGACACACACACACACACACTGGCACACACACGGGTCACATACCGACACTACAACAACAAACGCCATTCGCCACTAAGTGGCGGTGACGTCACCACGACGCTCGTGCCAGGCTGTGCGCACTCCGAGGCCACGTGAAGTGCCGAAGGCCCGCTGGCAGGAGGTCACGGGGCAGACCCAGCAGGTGCCGCTCACACTCACCATAGCCGGCGTACGCCGACGCCGGGGTGCTGTACCCGCTGCCGGCGCTGGCCGCGTGGCTTTTGTAGCTGGACGGCACCGATGAGCTCTGGTAGCCGGCGCCCTGAGCCCCGTAGCTGCCCGCCGGCGCGTAGCTCGACTGCTGGTAGCCAGCGCCGGATGCCTGGTAGCTCGCGCCATGGGTCTGATAGCTCTGGTAGCCGCTACTCTGTTGTTGCGGCTGCTGCTGCTGCTGCTGCTGTTGTTGTTGTTGCTGATGGTGGTGAGGCTGTTGCTGCTGCTGCTGTTGATGATGGTGGTGCTGCTGCTGAGGCTTCTGCTGGTGCTGTGGCTGATGATGCTGTTGTTGCTGGTGCTGTTGGTGGTAACTACCACCGCCACTACTGCCTCCGCCGCCGCCTCCGCCACCGCCGCCACCACCACCACCGCCGCCACCGCCACCACCGCCACCGCCACCACCACCACCACCGTAGCCGCCCGTTTCTGATAGTGGTACGATTTAGCGCCACGTGTCGCTGGTGCAGAAATCGGCTTGGGCGGAGGTCCGCCACCGCTACTAACCACACCAACGCTGCTACTACCACCACCGCTCACACCACCACTCCCACCACACCAGTTCCACCACCACCACCACGAAAGCCACCGCCTGTTCCTCCACCACCGTACTGCGGTTTCCCAGCACCCCGACCTCCACTGGCGGGCAGGTACTGGTTCTTATTTGCCGCGGATGATGCCGATGACCCAATGCTGCCGCCGCCGCCACCACCACCGCCACCACCAGCAGCACCACCACCACCACCACCACCGCGCCGCCACCGCCACCACCACCACTGCTGGGGAAGGATGGCCCAGGTGCCGGGGCAGTAGGGGCGGCGGCGGCGGCAGCCGTGGCGTTGCCGGCGCCTGCCGGACCACCTTGGTTCTGGGAGCCGGAGCTCAGGAAGCCACCGCTTGAGAAGAAGCCACCTGGGATGTGGAGTTCAAAGTTCATGTATTAGGTACAGCCCTGTGAGCCATTCGGCTCTTGTATCGGGTGCAACCGCAAAAAACAAAACATGAACAAGAACAAAAATCTTAAAGTGACTGAGTGCAAACAGAAAATACAAGAAAAGACAGCAAATATTGCAGAAAAAGCACCGTACACCAACGTTGTGTGCAAAAATCCCAGTGGGATGCAAGTCAAAACAACAACAACCACAAGACAACTTAGATTAAGGCCATCAGTCTAACTCTGTACTCCAAAAACAAACATGGCCAAACCAAAAAACTTTTCGAAAATCACCAAAATAAAGCCATAAAAGCAATGAAACAGTGGTCACAGGAACTGTGACCGAATTTTCACAATAAACGCGACGTCAACAACATGTACTACCACCGACTCTGCAGCTATAGGAGGAGGGCGGCACGGCGAGAAGAGGCCGCTCACTGATGTGGAGTCTTGAGGCTCAAGTGTCGTCATAATGAGAATAACAATTATCAAGTGTTCTCTTGATAATTGGTTTTTTACCCTTCTATCGGCAACAAACCTGAACCTTTTTACAAGGAGTCATGTTTGCATTGACCACAATACCTGCAGTCATAATGCAAACAAAAAACACAACTCTGATAATGTATGCACTGTCCTTGAAGTTGATTGGTCCACACCCGAGACATGTGAGACTAGGCTCTAAAGAAAGATGTCTCGGGTGTGGACCAATCAACTTCAAGGACAGTGCATAATATCAGAGTTGTTTTTTGTTAGCATTATGACCGCAGGTATTGTGGTCTATGCAAACATGACTCCTTGTAAAAAAAGTGTCAGTTTTGTTGCCAGATAGAAGGGTAAAAAAACAATGATCATATTTTTTACTGGCAAATGAGGTTCCAATGGTGTAAGCGTTCTCTTATTTACGGACATAGAGAGGAATGGAAGGAGGTTAAGGAGGGGCAGCTTAACATACAGGGGCAGTGTTGAGAATATGGGCAGTGCTGAGTCTATGGGCAGTGCTGAGTCTATGGTGCAGTGTTGTGTCTATGGGCAGTGTTGTGTCTATGGGCAGTGCTGAGTCTACGGGCAGTGTGAGTCTATGGGCAGTGTTGAGTCTAAGATGCAGTGTTGAGTCTATTGGCGATATGGTT